AAATCTATGTGTGCGCCTAAATGTATCTGTATATATATGTGTATATATATATAGATACCATGTCTGTTTACACACACATATAGATATGTAAGTATATATGTGTAGGTTTATACGTTGTACATATGTAAACATATATTCTATCGATCGGCATACCTATATGTATTGCTATATCGGCATGCATTGCGATATATAGACACATGGTCGACCCCCCCCCCCCCCAAGCACCCCCAAACCACCAAACCACAAAATCTTCACTGATCGTTTCTCCTCGTCGCTCTCCTCCTCAAACCACAAAATCTTCACTGATCGTTTCTCCTCGTCGCTCTCCTCCTCCTCCTCCTCCTCCTCCTCCTCCCCTCCTTCTCCTCCCCCTCCTCCTCCTCCTCTTCCTCCTCCTCCTCCTCCTCCTCCTTCCCTGCGTCTCCCAAGCCAAGGAAACCTAAAATGCATTGTGTATGGCGCCGTCGGTGCAAGGAAATGCTTTTTGTTGTTGTTGTTTTTGTTTGGTCTTTGTTTGTTGTTTTTTTGGTCTGAGAAGCAAGGACAAGCGTTTTTTTTGGGGGGTTGTTGTTGTTGTTGGTTTTTTGGTTTGAGAGTCAAGGAAACCTTGTGTGTGTGTGTGTGTTTTTTTTGGGGGGCTTTGCAAGCTCTAAGGGTGCTGGGAGGGAGGCTGGTGCGAGCGTCGGGGCTTCCAAAAACCCAAAAAACAAACAACCAAACATGCACAAGGTTTCCTTGATTCTCAAACCAAAAAAACTAATACAAAACAACAATACACAGCGTTTCCTTGCACCGAGGGCGCCAAACACTGCGTATGTTTGGTTTTTTTTTTGGTTTTCAACACGGAAGAGGAAAGGAAAGGGGCTTGCAAAACCAACATATATATTAAACAAACAAAAATACACAGCGTTTCCTTGCTTCTCAAACCAAAAAAAAACACAACGTTTCCTTGCACCGAGGGCACCAACCACTGTGTATGTTTGGTTTTCTTGCTTTGCAACAAGGAAGAAGAAAGGAAAGGAGGATCCAATCGACTCCCTTCGATGTGATTTCACGACGACGACGACGCAACAATTGTTCGCCATGAAATAGCATGACACGCGCATGGATCCGTGCTCGATAATAGGTCTGCGAGGTGCAACGCAGCGGGCTAGCGGCTCATCTGGGGCACTCAGGGGGCGCGCGCCACCGCGGCGGCGCGCGCCCCCTGAGTGCCCCAGATGAGCCGCTAGCCCGCTGCGTTGCACCTCGCAGACCTATTATCGAGCACGGATCCATGCGCGTGTCATGCTATTTCATGGCGAACAATTGTTGCGTCGTCGTCGTCGTGAAAGCACATCGAAGGGAGTCGATTGGATCCTCCTTTCCTTTCTTCTTCCTTGCTGCAAAGCAAGAAAACCAAACATACACAGTGTTTGGTGCCCTCGGTGCACGGAAACGTCGCTTTTTTGTTTGAGAAGCAAGGAAACGCTGTGTATTTTTGTTTGTTTAATATACTTTTTTGGTTTTGCAAGCCCCTTTCCTTTCCTCTTCCTTCTTGCAAAGTAAGAAAACCAAACATACACAGTGTTTGGCGCCCTCGGTGCAAGGAAACGCTGTGTATGTTTGTTTTGTTTTGTTTTTTTGGGTTTGAGAATCAAGGAAACCTTGTGCATTTTTGTTTTTTTTGTTTTTTGGGGGGGTTTTGGAAGCCCCGACGCTCGCACCAGCCTCCCTCCCAGCACCCTTAGAGCTTGCAAAACCAAAAAAAACAAAAATACACAAGGTTTCCTTGATTCTCAAACCAAAAAAACCAAAAACAACCAACAATACACAGCGTTTCCTTGCACCGAGGGCGCCAAACACTGTGTATTTTTGGTTTTCTTGGTCTGAGGCGCATGGAAAGGGTGCTGAGAGAGAGGCCAGCGCGGGCATTCGGGCTCGCAAAACAAAAAAAAACAAAAAAAAAAAAAAAAAAACACAGCGTTTCCTTGCTTCTCAGACAAAAAAACCAAACAAAAACAAACATACACAGCATTTCCTTGCACCGGCGGCGCCATACACAATGCATTGTAGGTTTCCTTGGCTTGGGAGACGCAGGGAAGGAGGAGGAGGAGGAGGAGGAGGAGGAAGGAGGAGGGGGAGGAGAAGGAGGGGGAGGAGGAGGAGGAGGAGGAGGAGGAGGAGGAGGAGAAGATACGATAAGGAGATAAGGAGATCAGGATGAGGAGAGGAGGACGATGAGAAGGACGACGAAGATGAGGAGGATGCACCCCCCCCTCCCCAGTCCGTCGTTTGGGGGTGCTGGGGGGGGGGTGGGGGGGCAAGCAGACACATATGCGTATATACATACCTACATATCGGTATAGACATATGTAAGCATGCACATATACGTATGCATACATGTATGTATATATATATATATATGTCAACTGATCCATCTATCAATGTTTGGCTGTATGCATACACATGTTTATATATCTATATACTTACGTGTTTCCCTTTGTATGTACGTATACATGGAAATATGCAGATCTGTGTTTCTATACGTAGCATAGACATGCATTTCTGTATATGTACACACATGTGTGTCCATCTATCGATACACATGCATCTGCTTTTATATGTGTATACATATGTAGACATGCTATGTACTTACACATGTTTACATATGTAGTGCCATGCATACAAACACATATATATATAGATATACATATATGCATCCACACATACATACATACAAGTACACGTGCATACCGATCGATCCATATATATATTTATGTGTGTAGATATAGGTCCATACATCTAACATCTAAACCGTTGGACCAGGTGAAGCCCTCTTGGGGCCAGACACTGATGTAGACCGGCCCCAGGCCAGGCTGGGGGGCAATATATGTCGGCGGTGCCCCGTGGCACGACCCCCCCCCCCGCCTTCCCGGGGGGGTTCGTACAGGGCGCACCGGGTGCCGCCGACGACCTGTAACCCCCCCTCTCCTCCGTTCCTGGGGGGTTTTGTACTGGGCGCATTGGCGCCCCCCCACCCCGCCGTGGTGGGGTGGGGGGCTCCTGTGGGAGTGGGGGGGGGTCCTGTGAGGGCGGGGGGGGCTGCGTGGGAGCAAAACAAATAGGTCTTCGGGGCGTGGACGTGGGGTGGGAGGGAGGACTAGATGGATGAATGGAGGATGGATGGACGGATCGACGGACGGATATTAGATAGATGGTCCAGGGTCTGCCCCCCCCCCCTCGTGCTGATGCCATCGGGCCCGTCGTCGTCGTCGTCGTCGTGGTGATCGTCGTCGTCGTCGTCGTCCCCGTCGTCGTCGTCGTCGTCGTCGCCGTCGGCGTCGTCGTCGTCGTCGTCGTCGCGGTCGCGGGGGGGGAGTTCAGAAGGGTTGGGGGGAGCCGAGGAGTGCGATGAAGTGGGGAGGAGTCGGGAGGGGCCGGGAGGAGTGCTCAGTAGAGCGATGGAGTGGGAAGGAGTCGGGATGAGTGCCGAGGAGGGCCGAAGAGTGCGATGGAGCGGGGAGCAGTCGGCGGGAGTGGTGACGAGTGCCGAGGAGTGCGACGGAGTGGGGGAGAGTCGGAGAAGGGGGGGGGAGTCCCGGGAAACCTCCAGGGATTCTGGAGGCCTCTGGAGGTCTTTGGATGTCGTCGTCGCCGTCGTCGTCCTCGTCCTCGCCCCTGTCGTGCTCGTAATCGTCGCCGTCGTCGTCGTCGTCGTCGTCGTCGTCGTCGTCGTCGTCGTCTTCGTCGTCAGCGTCGTTGTCGCGGTGAGGAGTGCGATGGAGTGGGGATGAGTCGGGAAGAGTGCCGAGGAGGGCGATGGAGTGGGGAGGAGTCTGGGGCAACTGGGAGGAGAGCCGCGGAGTACCATGGAGTGGGGAGGAGCTTGGAGGTGCGAGGGGGGTGCTGAGGATTGCGATGGAGTGGGGAGGAGGCGGGAAGAGTGCCGAGGAGGGCCGAAGACTGCGATGGAGTGGGGAAGAGTCCGGAGGAGCGGTGAGGATTGCCGAGGAGTGCGACGGAGTGGGGAGGAGTTGGAGGAGGGGCCGGGAGGAATGCTCAGTAGAGCGATGGAGTGGGGAAAGCCGGCCCTTTATTTCGGGGAAGCTCCGAGAACGTCCGGCCCCCTACTTCCGGGAAGCTTCTGGGGCTGCAGGGGCCCCAGGGGGTCTCTGGATGTCGTCGTCGCCGTCGCCGACGCCGCCGTCGCCGACGCCGCTGCCGACGCCGCCGCTGGACGCTCGCACACGCTGCCCGGACGCTGCCCCGCGCTCTGGCCATCCCGGGGGGGTTCGTACTGGGGCGCGGGGGGTTCGCTCCGCACCGGGCACCGCCGACATGTATGCAGGTAGTTTGCTTGCATAGCAGTTTGTTTTGCTCCTCCCTGCTCTTTGCAGCCGAAGTTCCTTGTTCCAGGGGCGAACCAACACCGCATCTACTCACGGCGCCTTTGTCTGCTTCGTGCTTCTGACCGTCTTTCCCGAGCGGCCTGCGCATCAGCGCATCAGGATCTGGCCCAAGGTGTGCCTAACAGACTGCTGGCGGTGTGTACCCAGACCTCCGCGCGTCTCGATTTTTGCCAAGACGCGGGCCTGCAGATGTCTCGAGTGCTTCCCCGTGGCCGGTTGTCATCCCGAGCTGCTTTTTTGGGGGCATGGGGCCCGAGATTCGCACGAGATGCCACGGAACGATGAAACGCAGCTGGTCACCTCGATCTGCTTCGAGCCGCCGGATGTTTGGGTATGTGCCTGGTCGTTTGGGGTGTCGAACCTCGTCGGCGAAGAAGAGGCAACCACAATTGCTGGGTTCAGGGGATCGCTCGTGGCGCCTCCAAAAAGCCGAGCCCGACCCGCCAGCGGTGATGACCTGCTCTCGGCACTCGGAGTTCTAGCGCCGCGCGCAGGACATCACCGCGGGGGGTTCGGGGCCGGCCTTGGGAGGCGCCAGGGGCTGCTCCCTCAGCCCAGCGGCTGCGGTCTTCTCTTGTTCGCATCTAAAGGCCACCGCCTCCGATGTGCAGCAGTTTTGGCCGAGGTCAGTTTTTGTCGCCAGGGGAGCACACGCGGGTGGAGCGCGCATCGCGATGGCGTCTGCCAAGCTCATCGCCCTTCTCGTGGCCTCCGCCCTGGATGCCGGTGGGCCGCGGGGACGGGACGCGATGCTCCCCGTCCAAGAGCCTACGCATGCAACGTGCTGGCAAACTTCAGGGCAGAGGTTTCTCGCAAGTCTCGGCCTCTGGAGGCCCTCCCCAGGCCTTGGGATCGTCAACAGACGACTCGGGACGAAGAACCCGTCCTGGGGAAAGGGTCGGGGCCTCCAGGGACACAGTGTTGAAACATCGGGGCATCCCACGTCTGGGATGAGACAGACCTTGGGACTGGGGCGGCGCACTTCTTCATGTGAGGCGTTCTCGCCTAGTTTCATGCCCCATGGCGCTCACATATCGATCCAGCTCGAGAGATGCCGCAG